GCAGCTCATTTTTGTTTTTCAGCAGTTTTATCTAATCCCATCTGTCAGATTAATTTAAATAATTATTAAGGTGTAATGTTGCAAATGCAGGAAGACTTTAACGGAATTTGACGTTAAACTTTCATAAATTTATTAATGAAATCAGTTGCTAACTTGCACTTAATGTAAATATTTGCGCACATTTTTGGTCTACTGGATAACCTTTGCAGATGTAGGAAACAATTGAGCACGATTTACAACTTTCCGTATTGGCAACTAAACTGACATGTGTGGTGGGACAATTAAATCTAAATTAGTATAAATAGTGGTCGAAAAATTTCACAAATATCAGTTGTTTTCTCGCTGAATAATTCGATACATCAACAATGAACACTTTGGTAGGTTTTAAAGTTCTGCCATTTTTACATTCACATAAGTAATATTTGATCACTTTTAGAGTCTTGTAGCCTTTTTCGCCTTTGTGGCCGTTGCCAACGCTGGTAACTTGGTACTTCCCTCTGCAAGAATTATCCAAGGACCCAGCAGCAGAACTACCGTAGTTGGTCCCGATGGTAGCGCCATCTCGTCCGTAGCTCCAGGTGGACAAATCATTCAAGAAGAAAGTGTTGGAGTTGTTTCACACAGCGCACCTGTTGTAGCTGCCCCAGCTTTGGCTTATTCATCTGTACCTCTGGCTTACGCAGCTCACTCTTCTCCTATTGTGTCCGCTTACTCATCTCCTCTAGTATCAGGCGTTCCAGTTGTGTCAGCTTACTCTTCCCCTGTATTATCCGGAGTGGAAAACACTATTGTAGCAGGACCTTCAGGTTCCATCGTTTCCGGAAGAAGCGTAGGGGCTCCACTTGTTTCAGCCTGGTAGAGTGTTCTCATCTTTGCCTAGAAATTTTTGTCTGATGTGTCATTCCATGTAAAAAATGTCTGTCAATAAATTGATAAGCATAGATACAAATTGTTTTAAATTCAGACAATTCGATTTTTTCCAGTTTCTTCCGAATTTGGTTATGTAAACATGATCATGCAAATATGGGATTTATGCAACTGTTCTCTGAGAATACAAATGAAACTAACGCAGATATTTTTGCAGCTATTAATTTACCCACAGACCTTTGCCGGTGGCAAAACGTTTTCGAAATATCGTTTTCAATGCTTATATTTAATACTTTTTGATGTTTATTAATGTACTTGTTGCTAGTATATTTTTCTCCTTAAAATTTTTGAAATAAAATCATAGGAAAATTAAAATATTGTGTCTTATACTGTACTACATAATAATTAATTTTGCGGTATGTTTTCCTGATGAATGTTTATGTCAGCACGCCCTAAATTATTATTTTCTTTTGTCAAGCACGATAGAATTTTAAAGTGTTTCAAAATTATTCGTACGGTACATTTTCCCTTCTTAAAATTAATGAGTTTATTCCATACGGATGGGACAAAAACATCGATGTAATTCGTTCGATGTTCGATATTTTTACCATCGATGTCGGAAATTTGGAACATCGATAAAACATCGATGTTAGATCCTGAAATGAAAACATCGGACATTTGATGTTGATATAAGATAGAAACATGTTCTGCGAACTTTTCGATAGTGCCGATACAAACGATACCGCTATATAGCGGCCCATTTCCAGCTCCACCCGAAAAAATCCGCTTTTGGCAGTCAGTTCACCAAAAATGTGGCAAATATAAGTTGAATAAATTTAGTCGATTATTTAACAATGCATTGCTTTAAAATGCCATAATAGTAGTAAAATAAAAGTATTTAAGAGCAGGTTAATTAATTTCAAATTTGTGTGCAACGACAAACTATCAGAACATCGATGTTCTGGCTTCGATGTTTCCCTAACATCGATATTACCTTTCGATATCAACATCGATGGCTACTATCGATGTTATAGGATCGATGTCCCATCCCTAGACCACACCACTTAACGTTTTCGTAATTTTGGCACTAACCGTTTCAAATTTAGTACAATGTATAAATTTGGCTAAAAAGGTCAATTAGGACGCAGCTTTTAACATGTTATTTAGGTACCATATGCCCTGAAAATTAAAAAACTTTCCCAACATATGAGAACGGTAAGCAATACGTTCAGATTTAAATTTAAAAATATATGCGTCTAAGTCTTTTTGTCTAAAGTATCAAAATTATTTATTCAAAGCTCGAAATTGTTCAATTCTTTATACTTTCAATTTATTCAAAACGAATGAAATAAAAAAATATACTTAGCTGATACCAACTACATCAGTTTTGCCATATAGGTGAAGCAAAGGCTGATAAAGTAATTCTTAAGTTGAAACAAAAATATTGCTACTTAAATTTGTTAAAATATTTTAAAATTAATTCCGCTAACTAGGTGAAACTTTTCAGAAGGACAGCACATAAATCATTGTTAATTAAATAATTAACACATACATAATAAATGACAATTTAAATTCATTGTGAGATAGAAATTATAGAATATAGAAGGAAAGAAAATATAGAGAGAGAATTGGTCAGTTATTTTTTTTGAAAATAAAATGAGTTTCTGGAAATGAAAGGAGTAGATTTAGATATGCTGGTAGCAAAGGTATAGTTGGCAACATTTCTAGCTGAAGACATTAATCATATTTGATTTACGATCATTTGACATTATTTTAAATTTTAATTGCGCATCAATTTCTGCATATTTTTCTTGGAATAATTATTGATTAACACCAATTGGTGTTAATAAGAAAAATAACTTCATACAGTGTCACTTATAGAAGAAACTCTTCTTCGTCTTATTAGAGTTTTGCGTAAAGAAATACGCATTTTATTTACAGTTCTTAATTGTCAATTATCTGAAAATAGAAGGAAAAACAATGAGGAAAATGAAAACTAGTTTAATATATAATGAAATATTTTTTATATTTGAAAATCTACACTCTGCCGAATTAGGTCTAGTCACAGTCTACCAAGCTGATACCACTGGAGCTCCTACGGACCTTCCTGAAACGATGGTGCCAGAAGGACCAGCTACTACCGTACTTTCAACTCCGGATAGTACGGCACCAGAGTGAGCTGATACAACGGGGAGGCCGGATACTAAGGGAGATGAATATGCCGACACCACAGGAGAAGAGTGAGCTGCATAAGCCAGAGGTACAGACGAATAAGCCAAAGCTGGGGCAGCTACAACA